GGGGGGGGGGGGCATCTGAATTGAGCCTAGAGGTCAGAGGTCAAAACAGCACCTTTACCAGCCCTGTGATTTATACCCTGACCCTTTTCACATTGGAAACACAATGAGTACAGTGTGTTGTGGGTCTGGCTGCTGCAGCGCGGCCCAGGCTGAGGGCCTGCCATCGCTGAATGCTGTTACCAATTACCTGTTAGCGTCGATGGAGTTAAGCCTTAAAGTTCATTCATTGCTTTTGGTGACAGATATTTCATTGGCTTACGTTCCGTAAGCCGACACCTTCCCGATTTAACATTTGAGAATAGAGATATTTTCCTGAAGGCGAAAGCAGTTTCTATAACACTTTTTGCTATTCAATTTTCATTTTATTAGTTTAACCAACTCATACCCAGGGAGATATTTGCTCAGCACAAAAGCAAAATACAACAGTATTTCTGTAGCCATAAACTAAGCAAAAGGAACTTTGTTTTGAGACTCAGTGTCTGATCATTATTCTGCCTGGAAATGTAGATATTTACTGTAAATGGGATGCATGGCCGGCTGAAGAGAAATATGTTCTACCAGTAGTGATGTGTGTAGTTTTGGTGGTGTCCAGATCGTGCTCCGTTTGTAATGTTTAACTCCACTTCCTGCTTCTTCAGACAGAACACCAGCCCACAAATTTGTGAAGTCAGCGCTAATTGCTAACTGTCGCTACCAGTGGTACGCAGGTGCAGATAGTTATTACGTCCATTAACATAAGAAGCCGTGTGAGTGCGTGTTAATGAGGAGAACAGGACTGTGTTCCTTGCGTGTGTGTGAGCGTGTGTGTCCACACGCAGAAACATGTTTTAAATCACTCAGATAAGTTAATGCAAAACAAGAAAGGGACTCGTTTTATTTAAGAATGCAGCAAAAACTATGAGTCTTATTTCTCAAAAAAATAACTTTTTTATGAATAAAACCTTTGCGATAAAGAGAGAACAAAGAGCGTAAATGGGACTGATTTTCAATGCATCACAGATTCGAGGCTTTACAAAAGGAAGGAAGCACAAAGCCTCTTTTACCAAGAATTGAACCATCACTAAACTAAGACAGAGATTGGTGGGGGCAGCGGAAAACGGGAGGGTGGAAAGGGGGAGGGGGGAGGTGCAAATTGCAGTCAGTGGCAGTTATTAGCACCTAGCAGAAGGAGGAAAAAGAGGAGAAAGAGCAGCCTGAGTTTTCAAGCCGGGCTCTGCCTGACACGCCAGGAAAATGGGTCTCTTCACCCCCCCCCCACCCAGCCGGAGATAAAGGCAGGCCTTTTTCAATCCGATGCAACAAAAGCCAGGCCTTCTGGACAAGCATGCTGGTGACGTCGCTGACCGAGGGGCAGCAGTGTGACGTTCGGGCAAAATTATCCAGCAGGGATGATTGTTCTTAATGTCGGCTTTTTCCCCCTCCTGAACACCAGTGAACGCTCGGGTTACAAGTGGGACCTCAGGGCTCATACTGGAAAGGAATTGCGCCTCCCATCCCACCTCTGTCTGGACTGGGAACAAGATGCCACCCTCTTCCCCCCCCCCCCACCCGGGACTTAGACAAATGAAAACATAGCTAAAAGGCATGCGAGTTATTCCTGGAGGCTCGAGTGAATGCTACAGATCATCTGAGTAATCCAGGTATCTTTGGGCCTGTCAATCATCGCCGGCAGAGGGGTAGAGGCTGGTATGTACCCAAGGCAGGAGCAATGCTGGGCTGGTTACTCTCTCAGCCTCAGGCATGATGATCAGGATCCGCTGTGGATCACCGCGGGTCACGGCACCTCCATCGGTGGGTGGAGATGGCAGGAGTATGCAGATGGTCCCTCTCTCTGTCCCGGGTACCTGAGTCATGATGACCTTCTGACAGCTGCCTGTGCTCTGTCACGTTTCCCCCCCTCTTATGCAAGCTTGATTCGTCTTGTGTTACATTATACTGGCATCCTTTAAGATCAAATCATTCACCTGTCCCAGATCCGGCTTTATTTTCCTTGCCCACACCAAACCCCCCCCCCCCCCCCCCCCCCCCCCCCCAAAAGACCCCAAGCATTTGTTTCAGATTTAATGCAGGAAATGAGTCACTGACGTCTGATGTTTTAATTATAACATGACAAAAAATGTCTCAGGAAAATAAAAACCCTCTCATGAAAATGCTGAGCGGCTTGGTTATCCACAGATCTGATGGATTTCCTTCCGCCATAATGTTTATTCCTCGGTCTTTTTTCTGAGGACGACAGAGCATATTTTCGTTCTTACACAGGCCATAAAATAAATGCAAAAACATGAGCACCCACTGCCCAGAACCTCCTTGTGTTTGTCTTTCTGCACATTCAATGATCATGGTATCACTTCCATCCCCCCCCCCCCATTAATGGGAAAAGTGTGTGTCTGTTGTCAGCTACATGATCATCATTAAAGTCTATGGTACAAATTAAACTCTACTCACCTGTCCGTAAACACACCCCATAAGGTAACCATGGTAACTCTAGGTAGAGTTGCCCAATTTGATCCTAACACATAAAATGATTTTTAAACCTTAAATGTTTATGATGGAATGCAAGTACAGCTGACCACCCTCTCAGTACACCCTGACTTTCTGTGAGACGAGACCGCGAGATTCATCGAAGTAACGGGATTATCTTTGTTTGCGTGACTTGCTGTTTCCACACTTCAGCAAAGGTGCTTGGCATCACAAACGGTCTAGCCTTCAACTTCCGGGGCGTCTAAATGATTTTACACTCAAGAGGATCGCTTTCCATTACCTTTAATAGTTTATTAAACGACGGGAATCGACAGTAGATCGTGCAACTAAGTTAATTGCTTGCTTAAATAATATTATTAATTAACATAATGGACATCAGCAGTCTCTCTTACATCATCATTATGCTGCTTAAATTATTTTTACATTTAAATTGAAAATATATTATAGAGCAATGTGAGAAATTAATTACAGTATTCCTGCCAGTAGCTTCCAGGATAGGCTCCGGAACCCTGTGACCATGAACAGGACAAGTGGATATAGAAAATGGATGGAGGGATGGATGAATGGATGAAATTCTAGTATTTTTAAATAATAATTTCTACATTTAAGATTAAAATTTAAACTACAGAATCAGAACCAGGGGCAAGGGAGTCGCTAGAAATTCTGGGTCCCCCGCCCCCCTTACATTATATAACTTTATCATTTTCATATTCAAGGACCCGTGTAAAATCTGTCAGGGAATCCATGCCCCTCCAACACCCCTGCAAGGGGGGGGGGATGTGAAAATGAAAGAGATGAGATAGAGACAGCATGGGGCAAGCGGGAGAGAAGATTCCAGAGCCTCTCTATCTCAGTGCCATCCAGTTAAAGGGGCTTGTGAAAGAGAAGAGGTGACTAGAGCGTGGGGAGGGGTTAATGCTGAGGTAAAAGGGGGGGGGGGGAGCAGGAGGTTAGAGGGGGCCTGTGAAAGAAGTCCGTGTCCCTCCTTTATTTGTACAGAAAAAAATCAGCAGTTCTCCGCCAACGTCCCTCTCTCTCTCAGAGCCCAAACTGTCACCTTTTGGGCCCTGATGGCTTCACTGGGGGGAGAGTGAGCAGTGGGTGGAATGAAAAAAGAGAGGAGGAGAGAGAGAGGGGGAGGGGGGCCTATTCACACAGCCCTGCCTTCACTACCAGGCTTATTAGAAGTTCCATTCTCTGTCAATGAGCCTGTTTTTTTTTCAAGAGTCTCCAGCTACCCACTTTGAGTGAAGAAAAATAAAAGCAGTGAAAAGATTAGCTGCCCCCCCCCCACCCGCCTTCTCTCCTCTCTTACTGTGTTCTCAAAAGCCCTTTCCGATGGGGGAGACAGCTTGGACTGGTACAGGCAAGGGTGGAGAAAGGTCCCCATTTTTTTGGGGGGGGGGGGGGGTAGCTGTAAAGCTTGTCCGAGTGAAGCCCGCGTCTGTAAAGGTGTTTTTTTTTTCCCAAGAATGCGGCGCTGAGTCGCGTTCAGCTCTGTGTGACGTGGGACGGGATCAGAGCGGGAGCGGCTGCTCTCCTACCATCCACACCTGATCTGTTTACGTCTCTAATTCAAAATCTGCCATTTTTATTTATCGTCTATTTGTGGCTAATATGCTTGGCACAGAAAGAACAAACAGAAATAACGCACCTGCCATTCAGGAATTTCGAGAGCAACTGGGAAGAATTAAATTAGGCCCAATATTGTTTGACATGGGTGACAGCTTATAAGAAACATGGATAGAGCCTGTGACATATTATCTGGCAGGGAGAATAGCCTTAGTTTCCACAAATAAATAAGTTTACAGGTTATTTAGCAAATAAATTTGAATATTTTGAACAGGACTGACGTCACTGCCTTTCGGGCAAATTATACAGCAGGAGCAGACTGTAGGCCTGTTGAACAGACAATTTGTGGTTGGAGACATTTAATTATTTTACTTAATTATTACCACGACAGTGTTTGGTTGGGAGATATAATTTGTTTTTAAACAAAAAATTGGAGAAATATGATTATTCATTGAAAGTCAGACACCAGTGGACAACAGACTGTATTATAGCTCATACACTCATGCAGGCTAGTTTTCAGGAAACTAAACGAATAACAGATTTTATTAGGAAAATATCAGTTTAATAACAGGTTGCAAAGAAGGACGTTTGCTGTGTTCCCGGAAAATAAGGATAATGGGTGTCAAAGGGGGACCTACTGTTGAAATAACTAGGCCTATATTTAATGTTTTCGGAACATTCTCAAAAATGATCACTTCTTTTTTATGCATTTTGTTGAAGTTAACGTGTCTGCCTCAAGCAGCCGCGTCGCGCCTGTTGACTGTGTACTGTAAATACTGTCCACTTGGGGGCGCCATTGCTACGAGGAGCGCAGGTTCACGCAGGCGGGTTGGGGGGGGCAGCCTTGCGATAAAGTTCGTCGTGGGACCCGAAAGTTAAGCAGTCTGCTCGGCCAAGCAGAGGGACCGCATAGCCGAGCGTAGCTGGCCCGTCAAAGCAAGACGGAGAGCGGAGCTCCGGCGTTTTTGAGACGGGGGTGGGGGCGCACCGATCTTGATAGGCGGAGGAGGAAAGCCGTGGCCCGAAAACGGGTCAGGTTTCAGGGGGAGTGACGCTCCGTGGAACCTAGGGGAGGGGGCTGGAGCCGGAGCTGGTGGGGACGTAAGGGAGGTGGGAGGGGGGGCAGAAGAAGCCCTTTGTAAACCTGACAAAGCGTTTGAGATTAGAACAAGTATTCTCGGAGGAGCAGGAGACGTGCAACCCCCAGGATCTCCGAAATTAATGGATCCTGTCTTCGCTGGAGGACGTGGAAAAAAGAGAGTCTTCTTCGCTTTACACGCCCAGACTCGCAACAAATGGTGCATTTTCACGAAGTTTACATTACTGCGAAAAAATGAACGTCTAATCCTATTCTGTTCATAAGAAGCAATAAACAGTTGGAGAAACTTTGGTGGACTTGTTTTTGGGATCCGCTACCATTTTTTGGATGTACAATCTCCTGGATTTTTCAAGAATAATAGTTGCTGGGTGTAATTTGGATTTTTGGGGGCTTTTCTCCTCATTTGAAAAGGGAATCTTGACGGATTTCGGATTAGTTCAGAAATCACTGCTTGGCATTTGCGCTGCTGCGGAGAGAAATCTCACCGTCAGGAGTGCACTCTCTCCGGCCCATGCAGCCGCCTGCGGCTCCGTGCATGCTGATCAAACTCGGTACATTAGTGCATCAAGGTAACCCGTCAGCCATTTGTGCAAAATTATACGATTAATGCTTGTAATCTGAAAGTTGGTCGTGTTTAACCCAAAGAGCGAGCATCCTTGAATAAAGTCCAGCAAATTGAAATTAAAAATAGAGTTTTGTTTTGTTTCCCAGAAAGTTCCCAGGTTTCTTGAAGTACTGAGAAGTGGAATATTTGCATTTTATATCTTTAACTATGGTTTTGTTTTTGTGTTTTTATATTTATTTATATAGGCTATGTATAAGTCGGCAAGTAGCTCAGTATCAGAAATTGATGTATTTAACTTGCAAATTTCGTCCAATAGCCCTGTATGTTTTTAAACGAATTGTAAATATTTCTTGCCAGTTTTGCGCCATGATGGCTGGATTTCTGGTATGCGCTGGATTAATCTTGAGCAGTGAGAGATAGTCAGGAGAGAAATCTGGTTGCAGAACTTTGTGAAGATGAGGAAGGCAGTTGTGGCGTCACCACCTGATACAGTTTTGTACAAACGCCCGTGTAAAACTGCGATCTCATACTATTCTCAATTTTGGAGTTTAAGAACGTTTAAAAATGCAGGCATTTTGCAACCACGTAGTAAAAACCCATTTAGTTCATTAGTGGCAATTTATGGAAAGTATGGCCTAATTATGTTTGAATCGATTTATTTAGCCCACCTATTAGGGACATTACCTCATTTGCTCTGTCGCGTTTATTGTATGAGTTTAAGTAACGCGCAGTTTGCCTGTTCGGTGATCATAACGCTGCCGGACCGCGCTGAGCGCTTTCATTGTATAAACTAATTTGAATTTCAATAGCGATGCAATAAGTTTGGTGACTGAGTTTAGCGGCTTTAGGCGAACTGTACGAATTTGACTTTTCTATAGAAGCAAAAGGTGAAATATAAACTTGCACAAAATCAGCACACCTCCACAATAGCATGGCACGGAAAAAATATGTTCAGAAAACCAACATTTTATTACATACTGAATATTGACGCAATCAAATACATTGTAGCCTACAATAACAACTATCAGTAGACTATCAGTTTAGACACTTGCTGCCAACTCAACAATTGTAACATCAGCTCCCTAACTTGTTAAATAAATATTTAATAATTGTTGCAATTAAGTATCCGGAGTTGCGCTGTGTGGGTGTGTGGATTCACGGATTGCTTCAGTAATGGTTTGTTTGTTCACTTAACGCAGTTCGTCGCAAATTAGGGTCTTAAAACGATAAAACCGTAATCCGTGGAGCTGCTCATACACCCGCAGTGCGTGTGTTTAGGAAAATGTGGAGGAAATGGTGGGAAACCCGTCAATTCAGAAAGAGGGATAAACGGGTGGGAAATAAGACTGCTAACCCGACAGTTCAGAAAAGGGGGGTGGAAAATGGGACACCTGGCCCGTTTTAAGAGGCGATCCGCATGGCTTCAGGGTAAAATCAGCAGCTGCAGCCGAAAGGGCGCAGGTGAGAGCGGTGGCGCCCGGTGTCCCGGCGCTGGGTAAATGGTGTTGCACATGTTATACCAATGTATAACAATGGCCAGGTACGGGTTTTACACTATAAACAAGCCAAAATTAGGACTATCTTAGAAATTCATATGTTAGTGTTGAGGCTTGCTATGGGATAATCTGTCTGTAGCCTTCCTGTCGCGATCGTTTCACTCTTGATTGATTGAGTCAATAACAATCGTTAGGGCAGATGGCTTTTGCTTAGGGACGAAAATAGTCTGGCAATTAATGTATAAAATGCAATTAGGTGTGCACATGGATTGTCGACCCGTCCACCGAGTAATGATTTACAGACAGTAGCATAATTTCTTTGGGACGACGTGTACCGCAATGTTGCAATCAGTTCCAAGAATCTCATATGTACGTTGTAATATGCATTATTGACACATCTGTCTTTACATCCGTGTTTACCTCGTTGTAAAAATTTTTAGTCGTTGGATCGATTCGTGATTATAGATAGATAGATAGATAGGCTGTTTTGTTTACACATTGTAGGAAAGTAAGCTATTACTGACATTTTTGGAAAAGGGGGTAGGCCTAATAGTAAAATTCATATTCATGTAACTTATTGACAATGCCATTGACAATAAAACTAAAGTCACGCTGCAATTGGCTGCATGCTTTTTGCAAATAAATGAAGAAAAAAATGTCACGCGTCTTGTACATGCAAGATCTTAAATCTGACCTGGCGCCGTTTGCCAGCCTTTCGCTATTTCTTCAACTGCACATTGAGTCACAAAGCAGGCTCTTTATCCCTTAGTTTAGATAACATTACATCTTATCTACCCGGCTAAATATTTTATCAGAACATTTAAATACCCGTTCTGCAGACTAAATTCTTTTTTGGGACGAAGCATCGAAAGTCTTTAAAATCAGTTAAGCAACACAAACCACAAAAAGCGTCCCTCATACGGTACTTCAGTCTTGTTTTATTTGAATCCTGCTTTATTTGAAGTGCAGCATAATATATTTGAAAACAAAACATTTGAAAATTAATTGTAGATTTGATATGCTGACGACTTTACTTCTAAACTTTTCAGCTTCGAAAATAATCACGAAATCGTGATTATTCGTATTCGACAATGTATGAGGCTGGTCGTATGGTGTGCTTTTCATCGGGGATGGAGGGTCCTTATTTATAACGCGGTGTTTGTCTGCTGCGAGTGCAGGAAGCTGTTATATACACAGAAGAAATAAGAGGCAGTTTAATGGGTTGAAAGCGGAGATTGGGACGATTAGCGGGAACACGGACGAGAAGCGCTCCCCTAAACAGCCTGGCAAGCTCGGGAGCGGCAGGGAGCGCGGAAAGTCCGTCAGGCAGCGTTAGCGCAGGTGTAGCTCGGTGTACGAGCGAGTGGGCCTGCATCACCACTCTGGTATGTCTGTGGTAGGGCCAGTTCTGCAGCATTTCAGAACATGGTGCCCCCCCCAAGTGTGACGTTCCTCCTTCTTTCTTGAAGAGAGGAGTAGTTGTGCACTTTTTACACCTAGCTCGCTGTCTATCTGCCTCCAGAGCAGATCTCCTACTGGGTGCCTAGAGCTTTGTGACGGGCATTGTGGAAAGTTTAAAACAAGTTATTGCTGGATAAATGAATGAGCTTTTAAATAGAAGCAGAGCAGTTGGGGATATTTCCTTTTTTTGTAATAGTAATAGACCCAGTATGTTTGATTGGAAAGTTCTATGTGTTACCCAAACCTAATGTTCTTTCTCTCATTTTTTTCCTACCCAGGTCAGGTGACTGGGGGGCATTCCCGTGAGTGACAGGCCCGACAGCCAGCAGTTCATGGTTGGGTGGAACTCCTCAGATGGGATCTCTGTCCAGGGGGAGGCCAAGGAGGGGGGGATGGGCACGCCCGGCCCCCGGTGACGGGATGTCTGCGTGGCTCTGGCTGCTGGGCGTGGCCTTGCTATCGCTGGTGACGGCTTCGGGGGCACGGCCGCCCATCAGCACCACCGAGAAAGACAACACCACACCGGAGCCTGAGGGTGAGCAGGCTGCATGGGTCACTTGGGCGGAAGGAGAGTCAGCTTAGGGGCCCAGGAGTGGTGAAGAGATGGTTGCCCTCTCTTTAGTGTCCCATTCCTTATCCCTCCATGTGTGAAGTGGGGGTGGTGGGGGGGATTTGATGAGATTGTGACAGGATGTTTGCTGTTTCCAAAGGAGAAACACACCACCACTGATGGGCTGGGGGGGTTATCATCTCAATTTCATTTGACTCGAAATGTCCAAATTGGAAGTTTGTTTGTGATACTGTGGACCTTCTTGCACTTTATTTTACTTTTCCCAGACTGGAACGTCCTACAAATGACTAGGGCATCTCCCCCTCATTTCAGTGTTTGTACACTATAGCGATCAGCAGTCATTTCTAGCAAATTCCTTCATGTGAAAATGTCACAAATATCAGTACCATACAGAGTGCAGTATATCAGGAATTTTCTAGGAGCATGATGGCACTTTAATAATGAGACTTGTGGTTTTTTGGTTTAGATGTAGCCATGGAAAGTGAGGCTCTGACATCCCAGCATCTCCAGCCCCCATTAGACGTCGTCCGTTTCTGCCATTAAAGTTATTCAGTTTAAAGTCATTGTGTGGGTTGGGAAAGTCTGGCTCCTTCACCTTTTGTTCCCAGGCCGTAACCAGTTCGGTAATTTAAGGGTGGGGCGGCTCAATGTGACTCATTAAACGGCCCCTGATTTTCTGCCCTCAGGGGGTGGGGGGGGGAGCATGCATCAAGGTCAGGCAGTGTGTTGTGTTTCGGTTGCCATCCCGCCAGTGCGAGGGTTCAAAGGGTGGCCATGTTTGTAACGAGAAACTTATCCCGAATTTCATCTCTTGCAATTTATGGTAACACTTTTGGGGGAGGGGTGGTTGGGGGTAGTACTCTGACATTCAATTCCCAAGTCATGGAACTTCTTAAGAGGATCTGGAAAGAAAAGCAATAGAAAAATGCTAGGGTGGTGTGGTTGGGAGTGACGGAAGCTACTGGTTATACTAGTCAGTCATTAATGGTTGATTTTAACGGTGCCACGACGAACCGAATCCTCTAGCATGCAAATCTGATTAAATAACACTGCGCTGTGGAATAGGTGAGATCCTCAGTTACATTGCAGTTTGCGTGCAGTTCGTACACTGAAAGTGGCATTTTCGACACTGGTTGCCTTTGCAGGAGCTATGAGTCATACAGCAAGGCGTTAGGAGGGAGAAGCAGTGATAATGCAGGCGGAGGAGGTCTGGTCATGTGACCAGAACACCTTCTCAATCCTCCAGTGAGTTTCTGTGACCTGTTGACGGCGAGGCGAAGAACGGCGTTGTAGTTACCATTGTTCTTGAAGGTGCTTGGTAATAACACCCAGTCTTGTGCCAAAATTGCTCCCTGGCTATGGGCCGCGCCCACAGAGGGGGTAATTGTTGTTCATTGAACACCAGTATTATGTGGCTTTGGGGTGGTAATGAGCTGAGACGTCTCTGTGTTTGTTTGGAGGTGAAAAGGGGGACTGCACCGTTTTCCCACCGGACGAACGAGTCGAAAAGCAAGCTCGCCATTCTTTTTTTTTTTCCCTTCCCCTCCCGCTTTCTTCCTTGCATGCCCCCCGGGCTCCGTGTGAAATTCAAAACAGAGAATCGGGAAGCTCGAACTCTAGGTGTGAGTGTCAGTGTGCGAGAGAGCCGCGAAGGGGGTGGGGGTGGGGGGGGCGGAACTCTGGGGTCTTAAAGGATTTTGTGCCGTTTTGTGTCAGTTTGGCTGGATAACGTGCTGAATTGAGCAATATATGCTGTGCTGGGCCAGGCAGATGGGAAGCTCGCGTTGTCTAATATGCAGATGCCGGACACTTGGAAGGAGAAACCCTTCGCAGTGCAGAGGCACTCTGGCGTGTGGCTTGGTTTGTGAATCTGAGGGGACCATCCTCTCACTCTCTCACCCCGCCGATCAGAAAAGGTTGCAAATCAGCTTTGATCAAGGAGCAGGACCTCTGCTGTGGCCTGCAAGTGGTGTTTGCAGATTCGCTGTTGTCCTTTGCAGGACCAAAATAAGAGAAGTTTGCCAGATGGTTGTGGGGTCGATGCCTTTGGTAGCAGATCTTAAAGGTGATAGGATGATTGCTTTCCAGTGCTGCCCTTTGGGGTTTCGAAGTTTTGAACGGAAGGTTTTTGTGGTACTGTGTGTTACTGAGGGCTAGATAGCTCCAAGGTGAGGCTGAGATGCCCAAGACTGTAGCCATTGATATCAGAGAGGAGTGGAGATCAGAATGTTGGGGGGGGGGATAGTGGGGAGGATGGGGTGAATGAGAAAGTAGAGAGGAAGATGACGAGAGTGACAGCGTGTGGGGAGGAGAGCAGAAAGCATGAAGGGCAGAGCATGTTTGGGTAGGAGAAAGTGAGAGAGAACCGGCATTTGTCCCGCTTTAGTCGCGAGGCCCCCCCATCTGTCACTCTCAGGATGGGGATGGAGCGGCGAGAGTGAGATTTGGGGGCTTGGGGTGGTTGTGTAACGCACAGATGCTTGGCTTTCCCATGGATTTTGATGTACCGCCGTTGGGAAATTCTCTACCAAACAGTGGCTGGAGCTAAAACTTTACTTTAGAATGTTAACGGGCTGCTTTTAGCCTCACATTTGGCTAAAATCAGAAGGTCGCACATCTTTAAGGTGTGACGTTAGCTGTGATTTCATTGTATTGTTTTGCTGTTTGTTTGACTACATGTGCTTACATGGCAACTACATTAGGTTGGATCTTGCCTGGATGAAGTAGATGGATTAATATCATTTGTTTGAATTTGTGCTGTGAATCGAGAGTTAGAGCTAGAAGATGAGGCTCAGCCTCGGAGGCTCTCGGCCCGTTCCTGACTCGGTCCTGGAGGATCGGAGGCAGACGGCCGTGTGGTCATGTGGGGTGCCGGTCTACGCTCGGACAGGGAAGGTCATTTCGGAAGCTGCTTCTGATTTCTCAGGGAAGGTCATTCCGGAAGCTGCTTCTGCTTTCTCAGAGGCCGGATACGTGAGCCCTGCATGCTTTTCTTTCGTGGGACGTCATTCGGACTGGCTATCTGCTCAGTGGCGGTCACCACCTGCGAGGGGGGGCTTTTGTCCGCCGGCTTGCGTCACTTTTCCCAGACAAGCCGTGCTGTGGGAAGAATCTGCCAGGAAGAAGGTGTCGCTCCTGGCAGTGTGAGCTCCGGATGGCCTCCACGTTCCCGTGAAGAATCAGGCCTCCCGAGGGTGTCGACCAGGTCATCCCGGGGTCAGGGCAAGTCTAAGTTAGGGGGGGGGGGGCGGGGGCAAGACCTGAGAGGGGGAAGTAAAGGGGGATTGTCTATAGAGAAGAAGGACAGCTGAGCATAGATAATGAAGAACATATTTCGTTGCCTGGTTGCCCCCCCCCAAGATCCAGGAAGAAACCACCTAGGTGCTTTTTAGCCCCCCTTCCCCATTACCCTTTGTTATTAATTAATTCCTTAAGCTACTTAGCAAAAACACTTTATCCAAAGTGACTTCTAGTTGTTTTTTGCTATATTGCATCAATAAATGAGATACTTCACACAAGATGACCCCTTTGTGATCTTTTCCAGTCCATTTCATTCATACTTTTAGCTCTGGTTTCTCCTGGCAAGGTCCAGAGTCTCTCAGTCCACAGGGGGTCCTCTCCAAATAGCACCCCCTCCTGTTACCCTCCGGAAGGTGGTGGGCTCCTTCAGTGATCTCCTCAGACAGACACTAGTGTGTGATTCACTCTCTGTCTAACAGAAATAAATCTGTGTGCAGAGCTTTGATGTTGTTGCGGGTGGAACCACGCAGGCGATAATAAAACAGGAGTACAGTAAACAGTGAGGGCTTCTGGCTTGGCGGCAGGGGGGAGGGGTCCCATCAGTCAGCGGGGACGTCTTTCACTGAGACCACACATTCGGTGGTGAGAGTGGGGTGGGGGCTGCGGCTTAATTATTTCCGCAGTGAGAATAAGTCACATCACCGGAACCATACCTTTGTGGGGCATGGTGCCAGGGGGACTGTTTAAATCCGCGCACACCCAGGCCTCTTGTCTTTACTCTTTAAGCATAATGGCTCTCCCTTCCTGCTTAAGGATGGGGGGTTGGGGGCAGGTTGGACACAATAGAGGGAGAATATGTTTCAGGGGGTGTGTGTTGGAACAGGAAAGCTTGGGAGTCTTTCAATATCTGTAATTTTGACTTTCATTCCTCAGCCAAATGTGATTTCTTTTCTCATACTGATTCTTTTGTGGTTGTCATTGGTAGTTATTATTTTTTTTCTCTCCATCATGCTTCTCGTAAAACTCTCCGCCCTTCAAAAAAAAAAAAAAAACCTTTCTATTAATGATGTTTTTCAGTGCCGTGCTCGCCGAAACGGCGGGATTCCTTCGGATAACGAAGCACAGGGTCTTGCGGTTTTACGCGCCGGGAGAAAAGCATGTTATATCGTGTACGCATGAGGTTTGACGTGTCTGCGCTCGCCTCCGCGTGTCGCTGTGGGCCGGTCCTTGTGAGAACACACCCAAACACCCCCCCTCTTCCACGTCGATGGTCCCTCCCGTCCCCCTGCCCATGTGTCCAAAACATCAGTCTTATTTTGCCCCCTCCACCCCCCTGGAGTGGAATGGCAGAAAGCAGCTTCCACTTCACTCATTCTACTGCGCCCCCCCCCCCCCCCCCCGCCTGTATTCACGCCATCAGCATGCCGCTCTGCCGGTGGTGGGTGGACAGGACAGGATGGGGTTAATCCTGTCTAATCACGTGCGCTTGCTTGGTCCATAACCGCATGCTCTGAGGCCGCCGGATGCGTGCGGGGGTGCGTCGCTGGCTGACCGCCGTCTGCCGTAATCTGCCATGCTGTTTTTATTTTGCGTTTTACGGACACTGTAATCACAGCTGTCGGGGCTCCTCTGATTCGGGCATCTGTATTAGGGGATTGCGGTGTTTTTAATTTCTCACCCTATTGCCTGTTCCTCCTCTCCCACCTCTGTTTCTGTCTTTCCCGTGCACCCCCCCCCCCTTCCCCTGTGCACCGCTCTGCCTCCCCCACGCCCCGCCCCGCAGAGCCTCCAACAAAGTACCAAATCTCTAAGCCCAAGGTGTGCTCGGTGCACCCTGGCGAACCGCTGATGCTGAGGTGCCCGCTGCCTGGGGCGGGCACCGTCACCTGGATGAAGGACGGCTTCTTGCTGGGGCCCAACAACCGCACGCTTATAGAGCACGAGCTGCTGCAGATCCGCGATGCCACCGCCAAGGACTCGGGTCTGTACACGTGCAGCACTGCCGGCCCCCCGGGCAGCAACACGCTCTGCTTCATCGTCAATGTCACAGGTGAGGCCGGGAGCTCGGGAAGCAAAGAAGGCCGCCCCCATCCCCTCTCCCCCCACGGGTAGTGCAGAGCGGCCCCCCAGCATGACCCGTGCCTTCCTGTAGCCTCTCGCGATGCCCTCATGTTTTTGCTATTTGGATCGTCGGCGGGTACTATAGTTGTTTTTGTCCTTCCTTTTGCGTCAGCGAGGTTTGGTGTCTCCCGCCAGCCGATCCATTACCGCCGACCCCTTAATGTCACGTAGCAGCAGAAAGCAGAACCGTGTAGAGACCGGTGCCGACACCTGTTGACCCTCATCCTACATGCGGACGGAGTCGGCACGCTCGTTCAGAGATGATCGTGTCTCTAGGATTTTCTTCTCGTCGGTGTTTTCTGTGGCGCCGGTGGGACGGGGTTGTCGTGGGTGTGCATCACGGGCAAAGAGGCCGTTGAGAAGGTGGAGGTTTAGGGTTTGTCAGAGTCTTGTTCACTGCATCATAAATGCGATGAATGTAACCCAACGAACCTCCGCGTCTAAACGGCCGACAGTGATACACTAGCTGAAGATCAGTTCGCTCAGACAGGTTTGTTGTTAGTGGACAGACAGATCGTTGACACCGAGCGCTGAATCTTGGACCTGCTCCTCCGCCAGGCTTGCGATCCCACATGTGTGAGTGTTGCTTGCTCACACCCAGTAGTCATGGTTCTCCCTTGCGGCGGGGGGTAACTGTGTGCTCCTCTTCAGATGCCATCTCGTCTGGCGACGACGAGGACGACACGGAGCGTTCCGAGGACATCCCCGGAGACGGGGAACAGATACGTGAGTATCCAGGGCACATTCAGGCTTCCTGTCACCTCTGTCAGTGTGTCATTGTCGTCAGCCTGTCCTGGTCTCACCTCCATGTCGTCGTCGTTGTACCTCTAGTGGGTTTTTGTTTGAATTTGAGTCTCTAAGAGCTTTCTGGGTCTTGAAAATGGCCTTATTTTGTCAGGTCCTGCCTATTTCATGCCGTTTCAGGCCCGGAAAGTGGCGCTTGATGCTTTAGCGGTCAGGCATCCCCACAATAGTGTGGCTCGCAGACTGCAGTGGATTCCATGCATTTTTTAAATGCGACGCGGGGAGAGACGAGCCCTGAGCAGAGCGTGGCTCGTCTCATGCGTTGCTAACGCCGTCCATCTGTTGTGTGTTAGATACCTGTTGTCAGAAATGTTTTGCATTAAGCTTTGATAAATTCTATGGGGGGGTCCACTGAGAAAGGGGATGACGTTGTTGGGTTCTTCCGAGGCTGGGGGGTGTTTGCGGGGTCCTTTGTGAAGTCTTGTGTTTCCTTGAGTATACCATTTGTCCAGGAACGAGCTGTAATTGTCAAAAATTCATTAGCTATTGGGTGTTGGGCTGGGGGGGAATTTCTGGTGGTTATGAGATTTCTGGAAACAGATCAAAATCTGCTTTGGCAGTGTTATTCAAATTCCATGTGGTGTTTTTTTTTTTTTTTTTTTTTAAAAACCCCCCCCCCCCCCCCCCCCCC